CTGCTGTGTTCCTCCAGCTCCACACTGTGTTATCTCAGACTCCAGCATCGGCAGTTCTTACTATCTCTGATTCACTAATGTCCTTTAGGGAAAGGAACTGCCATCCTTACCTGGTCTGGCCTACATGTGACTCCAGACCCACAGCAATGTGGTTGACTCTCAACTGCCCTCTGGGCAATTAGGGATGGGCAATAAATGCTGCCGTCCTCACCCCATGAATGAATAAAGAAAAAAAAGCAAAGATTTTGTATAGGTGCTCTTCCTCTTTCCTCGTAGTTCTGGAGTGTTGCAGTGAGTCGTAGCCCATTTAAATAGTATCCTAATGCAGCTTTGTTCGTGGACATTGAGATGGTTGCTGTGGAAATTGAGGATTTGATCAGTGTGGGTTGCTTTTCTGTATACTGAGGTTTGGAACTCCCCATTGGTCATATGCTCAACTCTGATGTCCAGAAACAGAAGCTTATTGTTGTTTTCTTCTTCTCTTGTGAATTTAATCCCAGCAAATACTTTGTTGATGAGTTGGTGGGTCTCTTCTGATTTGCTGCGTTTAATCTTCATTTGCAATTAGCAAAATATAGAATTGGACCCCTATACAAACCCATATACATCACCATAAGGGACCAGACAATATAAATTCTAAGTGGAATAGCACAACATTGCTTCATCGGAGGCCTCACGGATGATGTTACCTAGCATGGTGACAAAAAGTCTGAATAAGAACAAGCCAGCTCTGCAAGCAAGTCAACAAACTCGCCCAAACCAAATCTTTGCTAAAACTTTAATTTCATAGCTGAAACATAGCATAGGCAGTAGCTAGTCAAATATTGGCTCCTTCTGCCTTTTAATTTAGTCCCACTGTATTTAATATTTATCTTACCCATCTTTTGTGTTTAGACATTTCCCACTCCTGTTTTATCTGTGAGTTTTCCAACCCATTATTCTGAGCTAAGTCTCCTTTCATCCAATTCAAATTCGATCATTTCCAGTCTGTGTATTGGACTCTCCTATGACTTTATTTATTTCATTATCAATTATATAACCTAAAATGTTCACTATTTCCCAAGCACCTTTTCTCGGTCTTCTTGGTATTTCCTCATATGTATGGCCTCATCACCAACAATCTCTAAATTGCCAATAAATTCATAATTTCTTTCTCATTACTTAGTTGATCTAAAATATACTCCTAATGGTATCAGATTAACTTTTTTTTTCATTTCTTAACCCAGCCAGATTCAACTTTCCTTCCTATGACTGTACCAGTGTGTTTGTTTAATGAAGCCACAATTCATCTCATTTCTACAACTCTGTCTTTGAGGATATTATAGTCTGGAATAATTAACTACCAGCCTCTCCCCAGCAGAAACTAAGTGGCCTTCCATTCTAACGTAGTGCTTCCAGTGCCTTGACTTTATTTTCAATCTGTTCTATAATCATGTATAAAAATCTCAATTGCCAGCCTTTATGCTCCTCGATTCCCTTTGCCCACTCATTTTCTTAATTTTCTTTTTACTATTATCCATTCTGAGTATATATCTTTACAGCACCTTGCCTCAAGTTTGATAAATGTAAAATATTTTTGCTACTCCCCTTCATTTATTTTTGGGCCTTCTCCAATAAAGATTTTGCCTTCTTACTCACTTGATTGTACTTGATATATGTAAACATGTGGGATCAGCAGACTAAATATGTGTTCTCTTTTGGAATTTCAGTTCTCCCATGCTATGCCCCAGAAACGAACTGATGTCTGTCTGTGGTGTATAGCTTCTCTAGTGATATAGAGCATATGATACAGATGGCCACAAGGAAATGCAAATCTGCTTTTGGCAGGGTCTATTCTAAGCACAAGATGTCACTGGTGGAAAGAGTTGATCAGTGATAGAGCAGCAGCACTAGCTTTGGAAACTCACAGTAGTATTGAGTTTGCACCTCATGGTACTTAAAATCCAGTCCCAGTTGATGAAATGAATGTCCCTTCTCTATATAACATTGGTTTGGAAATCTTAATGCAGTTCCTGGTGGAACTGCAATGCAGACCTTATTCTAAATTGAATTTATTTTGTACTAAGTGACAATTTTATTAAGAGAATATAGGATAGCTTATGAATGTAATGGAGAAATGTCACATCATTGCCATAGGTCTACTATTCTAAAACTGAGATACCTTGTTGAGGCATATTTTTAACAATTAATAAATATGCCAAATTTCTATAATCTGAACTCTTCTTTATACCACACATATTTTTGAAGGCATGTGGATCTTTCATAGAGCAGTACTCACATTAAATACCCACATCTGCTTTTGGGCTGGGCTACTAGATTCCATGCATTCACTGGTTTTATCCCACTCTCAAGTTAAGCAAGCTCTGTTGATTAAGACAACAAAAAGTACTATTTGTATCTAGACAACATACTTAACATAGTAATATGTCCCAAGGTGGAGGTTGTAATATGCATCAGAGAGATATCAAGATAAAATTCCAGAGCATTCTATAAAGCACAAATACACTAAACAAGACACTTACCTTGTACTTTTTTTTTTAATCACAAACTCTCATCTTTTGAAACAGGTGAAACAAAATCTCTCAGAAAATTCAGGGAAGCCTTTAGTCAGGGTGCGAAGAATGGATTCATGGCAGGAGGAACAAGTAAGTCATTTTGTATTCACAATATGTATAATTTTCCAACATCAGCTTATGGGCTTTTATCCTTGTTTAAACAGCATAAGTAAAGACATTCTTTATCGAAAGAAAATCAGAAAAACATATTACAGACGATCAGTTTTGCATCAGTTCGAAATTGTGAGCTCCTCCCCCAATCCAATAATCAATAACAGTAGGGTAAATAAAATTAGCAAGACTTGATGGGAAATTGCCTTTGATCATTTACAAATTGGTAATGAACACTTCTGATGCACAATTGGATTGCAGAATTCATATATTTTACTTTGATATAGTTATAAAAAATGGAAACAGTAATGTCTATAATAGTTGTAAATTTTAGATGGATAGATTTTGCTATACCATGGTATGAAGGGGTGGGGATTAATCCAGATGGATGAAGTAAAAACACAGATCAGCCACAATCCCGCTTAATAGCAGAAGAGATTCAAGAGACTGAGTGACCTGTTCACGTTCCTATGTAACCAGGATCATACAACAGATCCATCTGAAATTATGATGCCCGAAATGTCAGCCTTCCTGTTCCATGATGCTGCTTGGCCTGCTGTGTTCATCCAGCCCTGCACCTTGTTGTCTCGGATTCTCCAGCATCTGCAGTTCCTACTATCTCCCATCTCCATCTGAAATTGTTTATTAAGAATTAAGGCACTTACAGATGTAGAAAAATCATATAGAAATATGGCAATAGAAATTTTATAATTTAACTGGAGTGCATAATGAAAATGTCAGAAAGTCACATCTAATATATTCTCCCACTATGGTTCCCTGATGGGGATGTAGACAAATGAAACCGTCCCCGCAACTTTCTATTGCAACCAAGTGCCATATTTCATCAAGTATTGGTGTGAGATGAGAATGTGAAATGATAACTTCTTTCTAAACAAAGCAAGTTGTTATGACCTGCAAAGCACTGTTGGGAAGGGTAATGGAGGCAGTTTCAACAAATTATTCAAAAGGGAATTGAATAAATTCCAGAAGGAGAAAATTTTGTAGGACTTGTGAGAAAAGGCAAAGTTGGAGAACTACATAATTTAGTATAAGAGATAACAAGGTGTAGAGCTGGATGAACACAGCAGGCCAAGCAGCATCATGGAACAGGAAGGCTGACATTTCGGGCCTAGACCCTTCTTCAGAAATCCATTTCTGAAGAAGGGTCTAGGCCCGGCTCCTCTGATGCTGCTTGGCCTGCTGTGTTCATCCAGCTCTACACCTTGTTATCTCAGATTCTCCAGCATCTGCAGTTCCTACTATCTCTACACAATTTAGTAACTACTTGTGACAACATGTAGCTGAAGCAAGTAAAATTTGCTGAATGGCCTCCTGAACTCCTCTAGCGTTCTATCATTCTACATACAAAAAAGTCCAGTGATGAATGTCTAAAAGGGTTATGTATTGTACAAATTTTTCAATTTCTTGAGATAAACAACCGAAAAACAGAATGCTAGAACTTCTAAATACAGGAATAGGATCTGAGTTTTAAGTGATTTGCTATGAAAGCTTTCCAAGAATGAATACTTCTGATATAAGATGTATTTAATTGCAAACTTCTGAATAATTCCCAGTCTTCTTCAACACCACTCCTTTCCTACTCCGTTTAACATATATTTATTTGAAGTCCATAATATTTGAGTTAACAATTTTCTGTTACAGATCCGTCTACCGGGTGCTGCAGGAATGAGAGAAGTAAAAAGGAGACTGATGGTAAGAAGTGGCAGTCATTTATTACAAGACAGGTAGTGCATGTAATTCATCCATAATGAACAAGCCACTAACTAAATTTTAAAGCCAAGCTACAATAAAATCACCTTTGCAACCACTATGAGCAAGGATTGTCTTTGTTTGATGTATGACTTGGCAAGATGGATAGATTGGTTAATGTCACAGGCAGGCATTCTGTTTTGGGTTTCAGTCCCTTCAGGGTTCACTCAGTTGTTTATCATTCTGAACAGGATAAAATAAGTGCCAAATCCACACATTTGCAATTGGCCTCCCTGCTCATCAATGGATATTGGAGTGTGTATTTCATGGTGTGGAAATGAGTATTGCCAAAGAAATACCCATATTGTCGACACTTTTCATCTTCTTTGCATCAGGATAATTTGCAAGAATACCAATTCAAGGAAACAAACAATATTTCTGCTGCATAAGAGGAGAATGCTGATTGGTTGACAGATGGATTGTGATTCATTAAGGCATTGCCATATAGAATGCCCCAATTAGTGATACAGTGCATGCACATGTTGTTCCTGCCTGCAATTGCAAAATACCTTGGATGTTACCATATGTAGCTTTCAATACACACAAGTATGCCATACTGTGAACCTGACCAACAATCCTAAATTGGTTGTCAGCATAATTCATCAGGCATTTAGGATTATCAAGCAAATATTGTCCAATTGCAGAATCACATCTACAGTTGGACACTGTACTCAAGGTTTTGCAAGCACAGGCTTTTTGCATATAGTTATTACCTTGCTTGCTTGGAATAGCCGAAAGGATGTGCTCTTTTACGTGATCAGTCAGTTTTTTTTAGGATGTATAAACTACTTACCTGGCGTCACACCAGCATTGAAATCCATATGCCTTTATACATTTTTATGATAGATAAAATGTCTTTTTGGCTTGACAACAGCATCCTGTTTGTGGTTAACACCACTTTTGTTGCTGCTGTTGCTCAAACATTTGAGATTCCTTACCTTTCCAGAGTACTGTAATCTGAGGTTGACTGGACAGTTTTTCAGGACCAAGAGCCTCCAGGCCTCTCATGGTTTTACACAATATACAGGATATCCATTATCCCACGGGATAGTTTTGATATGCCCGATTCCAGCATCATATTTGCAAGGAAAACAAATGGCTCAAGTCCCGTTAATGAGGTATCCAAAAAGGCCAGCCTTAAAGTGAGTAGAACTGTAGCAATGGCAACATCTACACTGACCACTGAAGGTAAGTTTGTAATAGACAGTAATAGAGATTCCCCTGCCTGTTTCTCAATTAGGACATTGGAGAAAAAGAGTTCATTGACTGTCCCATTTCCACAGTTGGATGGAACCCATTAAATCAGTCTAAAATGCCACTGTGGATTCACATATAACAAAGATTTCCTCTACTTATCAGAAATATATGAGGGATTCAGATATTGGATACAATTCCATCAAAGACACAACCACCATGAATTCCAAAGAAAATTTTTGTGAGAGCTGGGCCTGGCAGGAATCCCTCATCAACACTATCTACTTGGGCATACATGTCATCTTTAAAAAGGACCTCAACTTCACATGTTGCTGAATTCCTTAGTTCAATGAATACTGATTCACACGCTTGGTGGTGGGACCGAGATCACCACTTGGCAACCAATCAGAACTCTCATAAGAAGATAAGAACTAGGAGCAATTCGGGCACCGGAGCCTGCTCTGCATTTGATGTAATCATGGCTGATCTCATCTTGGCCTCGACTCCACACTTCTTTGCCTGCTTTCCACAAATCATTCAATCCATTACTAATTAAAAATCTATCTACCTCCTCTTTAAATTTACTCAATGCCCCAACATCCATTGCACTCAGGGGTACTGAGCTGCACAGATTCATGGATCCTTTGAGAGGAGTAATTTCTTCTCATCTCTTCTCTCATACATTATGAATGTTGGTTTTACCCTTGATTGGTATTCTTGTGAATTGTCCTGATAAGTGCAAGACAAAAGCTTTGACATCATTTTATTTTATCAACAATACTCAGGGAACTATGAAAATGCAACAACAACTTGTAATAATATGGCACCTTTAACACAATAGAAGTCCAAAAATAAGAGATAACACAGTGTGGAGCTGGAAGAACACAGCAGGCCAGGCAGCATCAGAGGAGTAGGAAAGCTGACGTTTTCCTTCTTCAGAAAGAAGGGTCCCGACCCGAAACGTCAGCTTTCCTGCTCCTCTGATGCTGCCTGGCCTGCTGTGTTCCTCCAGCTCCACACTGTGTTATCTCTGACTCCAGCATCAGCCGTTCTTACTATCCAAAAATCCAAAAATGTTCTTTGAATTATATGTGACACCAGCTGGCATGAGGTAGATGACCAAATGCTCAGTTAAGAAGTAAGTTTGAAGACCACCTTAAAAGAGAGAAAGAGCTGGAGAGATGGTAAGGTTTATTGAGGGAATTCCAGAGCTTTGTATATAAGGATGCTGATGTTGCAAGATACACAAGAGCCCAAACTTGGAACAACATCAAGATTTCAGAATGTTCAAGAACTGGAAGAGGTTACAGAGAAAGAGAGGGGCAAGGCTGAATAGTCTAATGAAGCCTGACATTTGCCTACTCTCTTACTTCGTCATAGTTGTGAATGATAGCTTTGTTCTTACGTAAATAAAATTTCATCACATTCTGAAATAACTGTACATTAATGCACTATTAAATACCATTAAATAGATTTATTTTTGGTTCATTCCTTCCTCAGGATTCTAGTAGCAGAAAGTTGAAAACAGAGAAGCTAAATTGTTTCCATTAACATAATTGCACTTTAATTGTGTCAAGTATTTTGTTATAATATGCCTGAAGTGTGAATTCTTATTTCATTTAGCAGAATAAATCAATGAAAGTTGCTGCTCCTACACTGGAATTATCACTGCAAAAAGGTCAAAAGGTAATTTTTTAAAACAAAAATCAAAATTCCAGTTCCTGGTCCAACCAAGATTGCTTTATCTCCTAGAGTTTCAAAGTTACCTGGTTACTTGATCCTGAGTGACATGTCTACATCACCAGATTCAGTTGTGATTTAAGCTGGCTGGACAGTGATCAACGTTATGCCAGTATACAACATATCTGCTTGACTCGGGTATCAGATTACTGAGACTGCCGCAATTGTTGATTCAGTTTGCCTATTGTCAGGCATGGTTACCTTAGTGCCTATTTGACTCATAAAGTTATTCACCTTAGCACGCCCTGCTTCCACCCCCAACACCGCTTCACCATCCCCCACCCCGGCCCCTTTCACCTCCACCCTCTCAAGAATGTCAGTCAACATTTGGTCAGAAATTCACCTAAACATGTACACTTTGTAAGTTCCCTATTTTGAATTTTGTAGGAATAGAAGTAAACCATTCAACCCCTATAGTCTATTTCGCTATTTATTTAGGTTATGCCTGATCTGCCTCCCAGCTTCTCTCCTTTTTTTAAATTAACAAATAACATGAAATACCATTATTTTATTTGCTGTAAGGTAGATAAATCTTGACTGGTCCCTTGCAAACTCTTGTGGAAATTGAACCATATGTATAATCTAATGTTAGGATCTGTTTGGACACTGGTATCATTTACTTGGCATTGTCCACTGGGTAATAGAGGAGGCCCTGAATTTGTTATCATATTACAATGTTTCAGATACAAAAAATTGCAATGATTTAGGTATTTTTACAAAACAATATGGCCCAAATAGTCATGTTATTGTATATGATTATATATTAAACTGTCTTGGCAAAGTGATGAGGAAAGCAAGTTGTGAAAATTGTGCTCTGATAATGTTCTCACCCAATGTTTCCTCCATTTAAAGGGATTGTTTAAAAAACAGGATTGTAATTTTCATCACCCTTTTTATTTCTACCATGTTCTGTGCATAGGAAATCTAATATATTCAGGGCTCCTGGATCTGCCTTTCTAAGTTCTATGAAGCTTAGAACGTGAAAAGGAAAATGAAATAAGTTCTGGAGTGCCTTTCATAACTTCAGAATGTCTAAAATAATTTACAGCCATTGAAGTGTGTTAGTTGTTATAATGTAAGAAACATTAACTAGGATGACCATGCTGTGCTAATATGATTGATGCACTAAAGCATGATCTGAGACACCTCAGTATTGGTGTTTCCTTCCAGGGTGAAAAAGCTGAACCAGAACATAAGGTATGTGGGGGGAAAAAATTTAAAAACTAATGAGAAATTATTCTCCTCAAAAAATGTAAACGTTTTGAACAACTATCAGGAGGCTGGTTTTGGTTTGTGATGTGATGTAATTGCCTTACCCAGTATTGGTGTTTCCTTCCAGGGTGAAAAAGGTGAACCAGGGCATAAGGTATGTGGGTCAAAAAAATGGGAAATATTTATTCTCAAAAAAATTGCTGACGTTTTGAACAGCTATCAGGAGATTGGTTTTGGCTTCTGATGTAATTGCGTAGAAACATTCAACTGGTTCATGCTGATTTTTATTTTCCTCATGAACCACCTCTCATCCTGTTTCCATAACCACTATCAATGTTAGCAAAGCAGGTGGCTTGAAGCTGCACTATACCCTGCAATGTCAGAGTTCTCAATTGCAAGCACTAGAAAATGTCCATTTTTGTTTCATGCTCTATCCGAGAGACTGACTGATTTGACAAAATGACATCTATAAACTTACAGGTACAACTCAGAATAATTTGATGTAAGTCATTAAGAGGGATCACAAAAAGGAAATTCTGAGTGACCAAGTCCTAAATAATTCTACTATTCATTAGTCCCCAGCACGAGGAATGGCTTTCATTAACAGCTGCGGCTGCCTAAATTATCTTTAGGCTAAGATCTTTTTCACATGTCATTTGTGTGGGACCATACTTTTAAAAGCCAGTTAGATGTCCTTATCCATGATCACTCAGAAACCTTGCAAAAACTGCCTCTTCCACTGCTCCAATGTTTGTTACCACACTCTGAAAGCATCTTCAAGCTAAACGTTGCAAATGCCGAGAGCATTCTCTTCAGTTTCTATCAAGAACATTCGAAGAACTGGGGTTGGACGTACCGAACTTAGTGTCCTACTCAATCCTGGACTCAGCTTCCTCCCCAGATTTGCTCTATGTTCAGAATTGTTTTCTTCCACTTCTGCAATATTGTCCATAACTTGCTGCTATCTCTCTCATTCTGTTGGCTCTGTAATATTCAGACTTGACTTAATTTAATATTCTGTTAGCTGGCTCCACCACTATCCTTCTCAAGCTTCAACTTATCAAAAAGATTATAAGCTAACACCTCAGCCATTCTATGTTCCATACTCTTGCTTGTCCAGCTGTCCAAGTTCTGCAATTGACCTATGCTCTCCACTCTTCCACCACCACCAGATTTCTGCCTGTTAAGTTTAAAATTCACATCCTCATTTTCAAAAATCTTCATTGCTTTGCCCCCTGTTCTGCCTTACATCTTAAGCACTCTAAAATCTAAAATCCCAATCTTTCCATTTCATCATTTTTAGCATTCCTTCTTGCTTTTAAAATTATCTTCTGCCATCAGTTTCCTTTCGTATCTTAATCTTTCAAATCTCCATGTTCACTGTCATTTTATCCTTCATTATGACGAGCTTTGGCATATCATCCTACAAAAGAAGAGTAATTTGGTAATAATGTAATTGGTAACTAATTTGATGAAGCATGGCCTCCTTATACAAAATCCAAGTGAACTCTTATTAAATTTGTCAATATTCTACTATACAATTCATATTCTAAAAACTTGAATTTACATGGCACCTTTCCTATTTTCAGGATGACCAAAAGTAGTTTGTATTGTACAGAATCATGTCCAATAATTGCTTACAAACAAAAATTGAGATAAATGACCAATTGCTCTGCTTTTTAATGTGTTATGATTCTGCTAGGATCTGTTAATGTTTAAAAAGAAATTCAAAAATCTAAATAACTATGACACAACATTTCATGTGCTTTAATAGAAAGCAAACGTTTTGTATACAGAGCAAAAAATGTAAGCATGAAAGCTTACTTCATGTAGTTTACATAAGCTATTGCTATAATCTCAATTCTACTTCTTTGTATTTGCTTTCTCCCACCCTTAAGAGTTTCCTTATCTTATGCACTCTTGATGGTTCAATTACTTTTCCTGGGACCAACAGAAAAGGAATGCCACAGTGCTCTGGAATTTACTTTGATTTTTCATAGAATTCATAGAAATAGAAATTCATAGAAATTCTGTTCCTAGAGTTACAAATTGTGTGAAGATCCTTTCATTAGTTTGTGGCTAAGCAGCCCTCTAATTTTCTTTAAATCCCTCATGACTATGGACTGTTCAGCTTCTTGTCCTAGCTTTGGTTATATGTGTTCTCCCAGTCTGCTCCTGCAGCTTCTGCACTGCTCTTTCCAGGCTAACTATTTAAGTTGACTTTTTTGTCCTTATTCCTTCTCAATAGAACTGAGGAAGGGTCGCCGGACCTGAAAAATTAATTCTGATTTTCTCTTCACAGATGCTGCCAGACCTGCTGAGCTTTTCCAGCAACTTCTGTTCTTGTTCCTGATTTACAGCATCCGCAGTTCTTTTGGTTTCCATTATGTATACCAACTTGTTTGGAGCAAGAAAATCAATAAAATACATTAACAATCAAACACCCCTGTCAATGAAAATGTTAATCAATCCACATATAATACCAAATATGAATTATTTTCACTTCAGGGTGACGAAGGAGAAATTGGTGAGAAAGGTCAAAAGGTAAGATTAAAATTTACGTAAATAGTTTTTAGTTCAGTGTCAGTTTTCTAGATTTTCTTCAGCTGATCGAAGTGGGGACTGTTGCCACTGGTACAATGAAACATCTTACCTTAAACAGAACTTGTGTCTAATATAATTGGGTTAGCATCAATTATAACCATTGCCAAACCCACCATAAGAAAATGTAGAATAAAATACTATCTATGTATCACAGTAATAGAATTTGATTCCCTGTCTATAATGCCCCGTGTCCACCAGTTTATGGAAAAGAAACATTGCAAATGCTCCTAATGCAGATGTAAAGATAGGAAGCTCCTGCCTGAGATCCATTTAAATGCAAAGCATATGGATGTACTGAGACATCCCTGTATTGATAATAGGAATTTATCTGTAATTGTGTGAGTGCCAGGGGTTGGGATGTACTAATGTTGCAGGTTAGAACTAATTTATCCCTTTTCACCCTCCTGGACCCTTCTGCAGTCCTACGACTTGGTTAGTCATTCCCTCCTCCAGAAACATCTCCTCTTGTCCAACTGCGACTGACCTTGTTTGATTCTACTCTGACCTATCCAGTAAACTGAACAACTTTATCAATAGCTTCTCTTCAGAGCTTCACTGTCACGGCCAACATCTTCCAAGGATCAGATGGAAACCTGAAATAAAATAGAAATGCTGAAAATATTTTGGACTGAGAAGTCAGTCAACATTTCAAAATTAAAAGTTATTTTAATATTTTCAGTGACGCCCTACACCAAAAACAGTTTAGGAGACTTCTTCAATTCATTCACAGGATGTGAGCATCACTGGCAACACTAACATTTATTGGCCACCCCCAATTTTGCTTGAGATGAAGGTGGTGATCTGTCATTCTTTGAGAGTAAGCTGTCTTTTTCCATGGTTTATAGCCCGAGTATTAACTGAAATTAATTTATGTGCACAATGGATTGGTAAAGATAGTTACCATTGTTATTATAATCAATTGTCAATGGTGTTTGAAAAGTGCTCATTATTTGGGTTCTATAATGGGTCCATCTTAACTTCCAGGGAGAGCCTGGCATTGGTTTCAGAGGTCCAATTGGTCAATCAGGATCTCCTGGAAAAAAGGTATGAAGCTTGCTTTATCACAGCACCTGTTTGTTTAGGGAATGACTTGTTGGAAACAGAAGGTGCCATATTAGTGGGTCTCACAAGACTGTTCATACTGCAACATTGCACAAAAGAGTAGCGATTGTAAGGGATTTCAACTTTCCCAACATTAACTGGGGGAGCCACAGTGTGAAAGGTTTAGCGGGAGCGGGATTCTCAAATGCATCCAGGACAGCTTTTTAAGCCAGTATGTAAAAGGCCTTACAAGAGAGGGCCAGTCCTGGACTTATTTTAGGTAATGAATCCAGGCAAGTGATTAAAGTATTAGTTGGGGAGCATTTTGCAGACGAAGATTGGCCTGAAATCAAAGTTCTAAGCTGAGGTAAGGCCCAATTTTAATAAGATCAGGAATGATTTGGCCAGAGTGAACTGGGTACTTTTAGGTAATTCTGTAGCAGAGCAGTGGAACACATTCAAGAAGGAAGTGGGGAGAATTCAGGGCCAAAATGTTCAAAAGGATAAAGAGTGGGGCCAATTTATCCTATGAACTCTGGATATCAAGGGATACACAGAATTGGATGAAGAGAAAAACAGATGTTTATAGCAGATACTGAGAGCTCAAAATAGCAGAAGCACTAGAGGAGTACAGATGTGCAAGGGGATGCATGAAAAGGAAATTGGGAAAGCAAAAATTCCACCACCTTCAGCCGTTTACTAGATACATATTCCCTTCCCCAGCTGGCACTGACACTGTGCGACTCCTTGCAAACTCCCTACAGCAGATCTAACTCTAATATTTCTCATTACTGTTCCACACTTTTAAACTAAATTCTAAATCTGTAAAACTTACGTTAATCTCGCCTAGCACATGTCCTGTGCAATGTAACCTGTATGCCTCTGTCAAAGTTTTTTAACAACCTCTGATCTGTACATCCTTGCTTTCCAAGATCTGCCTGTACTGCTCGTAAACAAAGCTTTTCACTGTACTTTGGTACACACAACAATCAATCAATCCATCATTTCACAGGGACCATTCACTCTGGGACACCCTAATCCACTCTTCCTGCACTCACAACACCTCCCCACACCCCCATGGCACCTTCCTATGCAATCACAAACAGTGTAACACCTGCCTGTTGAGTTTGTCCCTCCTTACTATCAAGGCTCCAGACACACCTTCCAAGTGGAGCAATGATTTACTTGCACTTCACTCAATCTACTCTGTTGTAATTACTGCTCATGATGTGGTCTGTTCTACATTTAGGAAATGAAACACAGTCTGGGTGACTGGTTTGCTGAACACCTACACTCACTCCATAAAAATGACCCCAAGCTTCCTGTTGCCTGCCACTTCAATGCACCACCACAACTGCTGCCAGACCTGCTGAGTTTCTCCAGCGATTTCTGGTTCTGTTTCAAATCTTCAACATTCGCAGTTCGTTGTTTATGGAGGTTATGCTGGAATTGTCTAAAAAGTTGGCTAGGCTACAGCTAGATTATTGTCTACAGTACTGGAATCCACATTATAGGAGGGAAGTGATAGCACTGGTGAGAGTGCAGAGGAGATTTGCCAGGATGTTGCCTGGGCTGGACAGTTTTAGTTATGAAGACAGCCTACATAGACTCAAGTTGTTTTCTTTGGATGAGAGGAGACTGAAGGAGGGCATGATTAAGAAATATAAAATTATGGTGGGCATAGACAAGGTAAACAGGAAGGGACTTCTCTGTTTAGTGAGGGATCAATGACAGGGACATAGATTTAGATGGGATACGTGGAAACAGTTTTTCACG